TAAAAGCATCAATCGGATGTCAGCGTTGTAGAAAGCAATAAACTGCGTTATCATGGAGGAGGTGGGAGCTTCAAATTCCCACATTTGTGGAAAAAAAAAAGATTGGAAACCACACACGGTGTGACTTGACGCAGATGGTGGGCAGGGTTTGTTTTTTCCCTCTCAGGATGTCGTATTATGTGCGTCACAAGCACATATATTTTCGATTAGACCCACACCTGATATGGTTTTAAATGGCAGGGAATTGCTTTCAGAATATACACATGACAAAGTCTTACAAACATGCTATGACTTTATTTATCTAGTACAACACCCTTAAGCATTTTGGCATGAGCTTTTGTTGTTGATAGAGAGAGCACTAATACGATATTTTGACTGTGGTCATTGACAGGTCCAGCTGGGATGGTTTTCTAGATAATGTGTTGCTCACTTGAGCCTTGTTAGGGCTCACTTTTTGGTCAGCCAATTTAGGGAAGAACTTATGATTGCTGGGTTAAATTATATTTATTATTTTTTTAAATTCCAAAGCAACTTGCAAATGAGAGTTCTTGAAGGTCAGTAAACATATTTACTATCCCAACAAGTGGTAAAGTTATGTTGTCGACAAAATCAATAGATGTTTGATCATTTATTTAGGGGATAGTTCACCCTAAACTGAAAATGTTGTCATTATTATTTACACTTTACTTGTTCCAAACCTGTTTGAATTTCTTTCTTCTATTGAAAAGAAAAGAATATATTTAGAAGAAGAAGTTGAAATCTGTAACAATTGATTTCCACAGTGTTTGTTTTTCTTACTATGGATGTCAATGCAGGGATCAACACTAAAGATTTTTTCTACTGGTCTGATCAGGCCAATGATTCAGATTTTTACTTGCCCTGGCAAAATTTTCACTACCAAAAAAAAAAAAAAAAAAGAAAAAAAAAGGAGAAGTTAATAGCTATTTTTAGTCACATATATTAAATAATGTTTTAAAAAATAATGCCAGTAAATCTAGAATTGAAATATTTAAAAAATGTCAATAAATATAATCCAAATTCCAAGTCTTATGCAAACAAAAAGAGCGGTAAGGAAAATGTTCAGGTATTTCGAAATGATTTAACAAAAGGTGGCTGGCTTACCAAACTGACAGCAAATTGTGCAAAACATCAATAATTTTTTTTCCTTGTGTTGTTTGCATGTAAATGTCTGCTTCTAAGATGTTAGTAACAGACAATTTTGTTTACCTTTATAATTTGATGTTGCTGTCACTTCACGGTACTGGTTGTTACCAAGTTACAGGAAAAAAATAGCATGCTCAAAACATCACATCAGATAAGAGAAACCGTAAAGCAATATGATGTTTACGACATCACAGAGAAGGTGCATTTAAAGACTTAAAAGAACAAACTTAAAATCATGAAATTGACAAATAGTTGCAGGCAAATTAAATTTTAGTGACAAGGGAGCACTGTCCCGATCGGGGCAGTAATGATCCTGTCTACTGTCCCAAGTGTCTCTCGCGCTGGACCCGGGCCATCGGGCAGTCCTTATTGTTGAGTCCTGCAATGATTACAGCGTTTCAGCTTTCTTCAAACAATTTTCCTTTGTATTTAACAGAACGAAGTAGCTTGTAAAGGTTTTGAACCAGTTGAGCGTAAGTAAATAATGAGCAATTTTGCATTTTTGGTGAACCTTCACTTTAAGTGCACCCAAAAAATAACCTTTGCTCTTCTTATTTAAACTACTTATCTTAAAGGAGTTAAAAACAAAACAGTTCTTAAGTTTGTTTTGGGGACAAAGTAATTGTTTTATATGCAATCCACTTAAAATAATGAAAATGATTTGAAGGAATTGTGTGGAACCCAATATTTTTTGACAGTGTTGACATTTTGTAGTAGTTTAGGAAGCTGGAATATAAATAGCTTTCTCTTTTTTTGTGTGAAATTAACTAAGAGTGGGTAGATGTAAAACATCAACTATAATTAGTCATTTGCAGTTATACAGTTTGAAAGAAAATCTATATCTGGACTGCACACAAAGATATTTTAAAAGATTGAGAATAGAGAAAGATGAATCTATAGATTTGTTTGGCAGGGGAACAGCCAAATCAGTGATGCTTTGGTGGCACAAATTAATTTTAAAACGTATTTGGTCCACTTTGCTTTTATTCAGATGTGATTATTATGTTTATCCATATTGTAAATCTTGTTTTATGCCCAGAATTTCAACAGAATATCTGGATCTAGGTTTGATTGAAGCTGTTTATGAAACAGACTCTTGGGCTCGGCTGTCCTCTAGAGGTAGTAATGAGGCACTACTAAATATTTACAAAATGTAGCTCCTGAGTTGGTGATTGAATTACAATAAATTCACATGTAATCTTTTTAGTTTTAATTATTTCATTTTATTTAATTTAAATTAGTTTGTTTGTAATAGCGTCTCTATATATGACAGTCTGTATAAACACACTGGAATTTTACTGAATAGAAAGAATGACTGTGAGTTCTTAAAATCTGTCTGATAGTGCCATCTGCTGACTTAAACTACAAACAACATAACTAAATCATAACTTGTTGACATTTTCAGTTCAAACCAGGGGTGCCCTTTTCTTATAAAGGGACAAAACCAAACTTGATTAAAGCTAGTGGGCTGAAGGTCAATATAGTCATCATGGGTAATTTCCTAATTTATTTAATAATATTGAAATAATAACAAAAAAGTTGCTTTATATTAACTATAACTGATAAAGCATTTTCTTTTACATTTTATTATAAACTTATTACAGTAAAACAAGCTCGTGTATAACAGGATGGAGTTACACTTGTTTTTTTTTTGTGGAGTGGCATGACTATTCAGACTGACACAAGGAGTCATCATGGTGTTATTTTGTTTCTTTTAATGACTGCAGTAAATGACCAAACAATTATTTGAATTGTACAACCGTTAAGCTAAAAATTAACATTTATTCTTATATATTTTCTTATCCATAAACTGTGCAGCTTTTGTCACTGCAGTGTATTTTTCTCTGCTTCTGGTGTAATAGCTGACTTAATTACTAAGATCAGTCTAGTACAGCCAGGGGGAGTATTGTCACTCAGACAGCCAAGTTGAGTGAAAGATAGGGATGCTCCGATCAGGATTGTTGGAGACGATACAGAGTACTGGTTCCTTGTCATGGTGATCAGCCGATATCGAGTACCGATTCTAATGCTTCAAGCTTTATTATCCATTAAGCACATTTTCCCTCTAAATATGAACTTTAAGAGAAGATCTTGTCTGACCTTAGAGAATTAATGAAGGATGCTGCATATAACTCTTTAAACACGTCTCTTATAACCATAAGTGTGAACGTGTCATCGCCAGAAGCAGCTTTATAGAAAATAATTAGTCCATTTTCAAATTTTCAAAACTTTTTTCAAAACTCTCGTCATTCAAATCACATGTAAGAAAGCATTTAGGCTTCTCTGTAAAAATTTAGTGAGAAAGGAAGAACTTGTGGTAGGTTATTCAGGATGTGGTGGGTTTCTTAGGTTATTAAAGTGTTTTCTGTCACTACTTGTTTAGCCTGCATTAATGCATTCAATGTAAGCTGCACGATTAATTGTTAAAATATCGTAATTTCAACACTCACGCAACATAAATTATATACGATGGTGATTTACATATGTTAATTAATCCTAATAGAGTCTTTTGAGCTAGTTACAACATTATAAACAGACAATTAACACAGTATTGGGATAACAGCTTATAGTTAAGATAAAACCACTGATGTTTATAGTAAAGATTACATTCACTGTCATGTGTATTTAAAGATGCTCAAAACTGAAAGTTGTAGGCAGCAATTACATTATTTAACCAATAGGTGGTCATCAAGCCATCAAAAATATGCCACTGAATAATTCTTCGAAAATAATACATCTAGCAATGAAACAAAGTTTTAAGTAAATAACGAAATCATTTATTAATAATTACACTAAAAATAAATATGGGTTGTACTGATTATAATGTTAGATTTATACATTAGATTAGATTTAGCGTTATCAGCAACAGTAGTAACAGTGATTTTTTCACAGTTCTGAAGATTTTACAGATTATTTTTATTTAGCTGGTTATTCCTTCATTTTATTTTTAATAAAATGACAGGTTCTAAGTCCTGTTTGTTAAACCTGTAAGTTTTTGTAATTAATGGAAAGCAAATTACATTTGTCTCTTTCCCTTTTTGGCTGATCCGAAAAATGGTCAGATCCGTAACTAAAAAGCCATAATGTGATCCGAACTGTGAGATTTGTGATCTGTTACACCACTAGTGGAGGACATTATCAAATCTATGCTTGTAGTGCAGTCTGCAAACAACGCAAGTGTGATTTTTATTTTTTCAGGTCCTATTTTTATTTATCCTTTTCAAAGAATGACGATGATTAATTATTTTATTTACATGGGTGTTTTCATGTGAAAAGCACCAACACTTTTATAGACTTACCAGATTTTGTCATTTCAATAAAGTAAAAAATATATAAATATTTAATCTTTTTTGCTTGAAAGTAATTGAACAACATAATTTTAGGTGACTTCTCATGATACTTTCCCTCCGCTTTTACAGAGCTCAGGTCTGGATAAAGACCAAAAAGACCATTCTGTTATTATAAAATACAGATAAAATATAAAGTACACATAAATGCATTACTGTGATAGTTTTAGGTCCCACTTTATATTAAGTGTCCTTAACTACTATGTGCTTACATAAAATAAATACAATGTACTTACTGTGTTTATAATGTATTTGAGAACACTTGTGGTGCTTTTGAGTTGGGATAGAGGTTGGGTTATGAACAGGTTTGGTGGCATGGGTAGGTTTAAGGGTGGGTTAAGGTGTAATGGATGGTCAACAGTGTATTTACAAATGTAATTACAAAAGTTAACTACAAATGTAGTTACATACATGCATTTAATCCAGCATAAACACAGTAAATACATGTATTTACACAATAAGTACATTGTAACAAATGATTAATTACTGTGTAAGTACATATTAGTTAAGGCCACTTAATATAAAGTGGGACCTAGTTTTCTAATTAAGTGAAACAACTGCAGTTGTATATCGCAGAGATATTCAAAATAAACCAAAATGATTGAGTAATTCAGCTGCAGACATCATTTTGTTCAATGGCAGACGTTATGTTGACTTTGCCTTTTACTGGTCTTTCTAGACTTGTGGTCCACTGTATTTTGACAACATCACCAAGACTAGTTTTGTTGAATTTCCCATTGATCTGAAGGACAAAAATGAGTAAGTTTCAATAATTAAATGATTTCCATTTTGATATTTCAGCATACTGTTTTTAAATGCACTGTTAACATTCAAACATTTAACTTGAAGCACTTTACATCAAATAGAAGAGATCACTTTTACCTCATCTAATATGTTTCCCCTTATTTCAGGGTCTGTAAGGTCCACTTGTCTATCAGGCTTGAGTTTCAGTCGTATAAACACCCGTTTGCCTTCATCTACGATACATATGCAGATAAAAACATGTTGAAAACAAAACAAATATGTTCAGACTTTCAGTCTTTTCACTTTACTTGCGTTAAAATGCAAAGATATTCTTACCTTGGCTACAGTAAAATGGTAGTGTGTTCAAGCACTTCTCGTCTGTCTCTTTCCAGGAGTGAGTGTCGATTGCAGGGCATTTTATTCTGTCCTGTGGGGAACTGTCAATCTGCGTAGTGTTTTGTGAATCCGAATTCAAATTAGAACCCCCTATCCAGCTAGAGGATGAGATATAATTATTCACATAGATTGCAGACATTTTGTCTAGATCCGCCTTACTGTTCACAAAAGCCAGATCTGTGTATTTCTGTCTGCATTCAGTCTGAGCTAGCGTCCATGACAATGTTGTTTTAGGTTCATAATAGAATTTCCTAGGGAGAAGAGAATAACTCCCAGAAAGAGCTGTAAGAGAGAAGGAAAAACACAGACTGAAAAACTCCAGGAGGACCCAGAGGGAATGTTATAATTTGAATCACGTTCTTGCAAAGTCTTCTTTGAATCTCTTTTATGGAATTAGTCAAACAGTGAAAAGACATGTGAACAATTCAATTATAAACGCAAATATACAGACCAAAACTAAAAATTGTGTTACCTGAGAGAAGAAAAAGCAGAGCAGTTTTCACGTTCATGTTTGGAGTGTGTCAAAGCTTTCTTCTGTTTGGAGTGAAATGCATCTGAACCGAGCATGTGTGTGTGTGATGATTATATACATGTTGCTATGTTGCAGCGATTGGTAGACCTATGTCACCACCATGTTGTTTTGAATAGGACACAGTGTCCTTCACAGTCATCATGCAAACAAACAAAACATTTGTTTTTTCTTTTAAAATTATCGTTTGAGGATGCTGACGTATATTTAAATGTATGTTGTTTTCTATTTCGAGAATATAGTATGACCTGACTTATGTGACAGAAATGTGTGTGCATTATGGACGATCTGAGTTTGATGTTATTTCATGCAATGTTTTTGTATATCAAAAGTATTATTAGATGCCTTGTTCCTTGAACTACAAAAATGTAAATTTAAAATGTCAGTTTGCACAAATTCCAATACCATTTAAATTGACAACCGTTTAATAATTAACCTTATTAATGCAAGATGTATCAACTTAAGTGGGACATTGTCATGTAGATGTGCGAATGATGCGAACATGTTTTCACTGTAAATAAAAGGCAAGTATTGTAAAAATATTCAATAATATAATAAAACAGGCGACACAGTGGTGCAGTGGGTACCATGTTCGCCTGGGTCGCTGGGTCGCTGGTTCGATCCTCGGCTCAGTTGGCGTTTCTGTGTGTAGTTTGCATGTTCTCCCTGCGTACGCGTGGGTTTCCTCCGGGTACTCCGGTTTCCCCCACAGTCCAAAGACATGTGGTACAGGTGAATTGGGTAGGCTAAATTGTCCGTAGTGTATGAGTGTGTGTGTGTATGTGTGGATGTTTCCCAGAGATGGGTTGCGGCTGGAAGGCTGCGTAAAAACTTGCTGGATAAGTTGGCGGTTCAATCCGCTGTGGTGACCCCAGATTAATAAAGGGACCAAGCCGACAAGAAAATGAATGAATGAATATAATAAAACGGAACCATTTGTAATGTAATGTAAATGTAACAAGTAATATAAAACATGTCAGTTGTTCACTTCACACATGTATGAATTTGTGTGTCCATATGAGCAAATCATTTTTGTTACCAAAAACTTTTTTCCCAAATGTGTGTGAAATATTGAAAATCTGGGAAATTTTTTTTAAACTTTTTTTTTAATTTAAAGGCTATCCCAACAAAACATTATGCCATTTAGTTATTAGCCCACATCATCAATCTTTAAGTGCCTCATGGGAATGAAATGTAATATATCACAAATATGGAATGATGCCCTGTCCAGTTTCACTAGCACAGAGTTTTTAAGAAACATATGCATGCTTGCGTAATCTTTTTTGTTTTTTGCATCTGCTGTACGTTTTTAACATAAGCCAGGTGTGCTTAAAAACTATGCACTTTAATGACAATCTACTTATTTTATCATTAATAAGGTGTATTTATTTAATTTATTAACAAAAACTTTAACCATAAAGTTTTATTAAAATCTCTCAATGTGCTAAGTACTGCAATACATGAAATAACATGATTATTGTGGAACTTGAGTGACTCAGGGAGTGGCAGGATACTCAGATGGTTTTGAATAGGTCACAAAGTCCTTCACGGATGTTTTGTAAACAAAATGTTAGCAGCTGCTTTTTTTTCACAAGTCAAACGTTGCAGTGCATCAGTTCAATAGCAATACTGCCTTATGCCCTTGCAGGATATGCATTTGATTATTATATGTACAACATAGGCTAAGACTAATAAAGGGACTAAGCTGAAAAGAAAATGAATAATAATAATTCCTTACATTTATAAAGCACTTTTTGGGAAAAATCTCTTCATCCACCATCAGAAAATGTCTGTATAATAACAGAAAATGTTTTTGTACCATAAATTTACAACACCACTCCAGACAATATATCAATTTAAACTATTAAAAATGTCAATAAAAGTCATAAGTGTAACGCCGGGGGGATGACACTCACAACAGAAGGTAAGATCCACAATGCAGGTTTATTCGTGTCAGGCAAGCAATGGTCTAATCAGGTGCAAACGGGTATAAACAGGCAGTCCAGAATCGTATTCCTATAACAGGCAATAGGTCAAAAGGCAGGCGGCAAATAGGGAGAACAGGAATACAAGGCTAAGGTATAAACACGGGAAACCAAGACAGTGAAACCGCGTTGTAGTGTTATCACAGGATAAACAAGACTCGGCAAACTGGATGGGTAAATGAGTGGCTTATGTAGGGTGTGTAATCAGTCTCTGATAGTCCTCAGGTGTTGCGAGTGTAATCAGTCTAGATGAGTGAGTGTGACCGGAGAGCATGAATGAATATGTAGTCCAGGGGAAGGCGGAAGTGTAGTCCATAGTTATTGTGTGGAAACCAGCGATCTCTGGAGAGCGATCGCTGGTTATGTGACAATAAGGTAATACAAAAGCATAAATAAATGGGGACAAGTAAAAAAACAAAAACATGAATCACAAAATACAGAAAGCTGCTAATTTACAGACATAAACAAAAACATAAAAATGAGTTATGTGTAGTAATAATAGAAGGAAAGTGAAAGTACTATGGACCATTTTGAGGGATGTAAACAGTAACAATGGTCTTAATGTATTTTCTGTTTTACATTTTGAATTTCCATAGCTTCCAAGAATTCAAAATGGCTAAATAATGTTATGGCGGCCATTTTACCATTAAAATATGATCAAATTGCCTCTTGAAATAGTCTATATATTAAATCTTTTGTGCAAAAGTTTTTTTTGGGGGAATAATGACAGCTTCAAGACACCACTAGTATAGAGAATGAACTGTGTATATCTGGTTCTTTTCCTCAGAGTTCAGGATGATGGCCAGGTCTATGTGGTATCTGCTTTAATTTGACTCTAATATTTAGCTCAAATCTTGATCATAAAAGGTTCTGCATTTTCTGTTGAGAGATGCAAAGTAAGTATTACCTCTAAGCTCTTCTTTCTCAAGTAAATTAAAGTAATGGAACAGTGAACTCAACATTGTAGCACAAAAATGTGGCACATCATGCAAAACACAAGAATTAGATTCTAATTTCCATCCTCATTTGGCTGTCCTATAAAGACCAGTTATAGAAACGAGTTGATGCACTTGCTTCACTCTGTGTGTTTTTCTTTCAGTATATATTGTTTGTTTCGTGACTTTGAGTCACTCATCATTTTCCACTAAAACTACTAACCTTAATCTACTAAACATAGTGCTCAGAATATATGAGACATCCCTCACAAAACTCAATTAATGTTTTTTTATAGATGCTTTACAATATTATATTTGTGCTAGGGCCGCACGATATTGTAAAAATCTAACATTGATATTTTTGGTTTTGCTGCGATATATATTACAATTGTCACAATCACCAGCGACCTCTAACCACCAGAGATCGCTGGAAAACATTCACACTCATAGAACTACAAATCTGCTTAAAAATGGACTACATATTCAGTCATGACACACACACACACACACACACACACACACACACACACACACACACACACACACACACACACACACACACACACACACCTGCTCCTAGTCTCCACTGAGTACACTCGCACAGCTGAAGCTGCTCAAGGACTAATTCATGGACCATAAATACAGCTCAAACACATACACCATTGCCGAGTCTTGTTAGCCGTAAAGTGACATTACAACGCGTTATCCTTGTCTTGGTTTCCTGTGTTTAGACCTTAGCCTTGTTAGCTGTTTGTCCTAGTATGCCATCTGCCTTACGACCTCTCGCCTGTGTTTGATTACGATTTTGGACTGCCTCTATACATCTGTTTGCACCTGTACTGACCATTGCTTGCCTGACCACTGAATAAACCTGCACGTGGATCCTACTTCAGTTGTCTGTGTCACTTCCCGTGTCATATATATATATATATATATATATATATATATATATATATATATATATATATATATATATATATATATATATATATATATATATATATGTATATATATATATATATATATATACACATATATATTATCAGATGAGTTGAATAGCTCTATTTGGAAAGATTTCATCAATTTAGAAGGACTGGGTGAATCAAGTCTTTTTCACTGCAGTGCATCTGCTTAAAATATAAATTATTAGTCTAAAAGGTTAAATAAACAGTGCTTTTATGGTTTTCTGGAGAGTCTAACAATAACAGTATTCAAGTATATAAATTGAAAGATCAAAAGTATTGTATAAATAATGTATACAATATTATAAAAATAACATGTAACCCTCTGCTGCACGGCGTAACTATATGGCAACATGGTATGTTCATTTCCCTGCCACTGTTTCTTTAAGACTAATATCAGTTTTTTTTGTTGGAACGAGAAGACCTTAGAGTAGCCAATGATGTGCTTTGGTTAAGTCACATGACATCCAGTGTTTTTCTGTAGTGTGGTTGTGAGTAGTTGCTAAATGCAGATGTAAACGTCAATAAAAACAAAGGATCAAATGATGTCAGAACAACAAAAAAATCTGAAACATCACCTCCAGTAAGTTGTGATGACATAATCACAGCTTAAATTTTTTCTAATCAAATTAGTTTTTTGTAAATCGATCAAATGTGTGTGCAAATAATGCAAATGTGCAAATAATGTTGATTAGTCATGTGTTAATGGCATTTGCATTATGGATAAAATCTAGTTTTAATGGCAATACTACTTTTGAATAGATATGAATAAAGGGAACAGTGTATTAGCGAGCACCACCACGATGGTAAATGAAACAAGAAAAGGACAGAACTGGCTCTTCCTGCAGATGAAAGTGAGGATGAGATGGGTTTTAGTGACCAACAGAATGATGCAGACTGGACATTTGATAGACACACACACACACACACACATTGTTAGCTAGCTACATTATTCTGATGCATCTGGATATACTTGTTATTTATTTGTTATAATATTTATTTACTGTATGCTGTTTACATGATAATACAATATTATAATTGTCTTCAATAATATTCAGCAAAAAAAAATTGAATAAATGAAAGCTGTTGGAATATGAGTTGTGGTGAAGTGTGTATATAAGGTGTTATTTATAAGTTCTGTGTTAAAGCTTGTAATACTGCAACACCAATTAAATTATTTCAAACAAAAAATAAAAATACATATTAATTATAAGAAAAGTTTTACATTTGAAATTTCTAAATTAGGTCCACTGTTGGACGTTGTTGCGATATGGCAACATATCATAAAATACCTTAAAAAAGTTTTTTTTTTCAATTTATTTATTTATTTATTTTATTTATTTATTTTTTTACAGCACTTCAAGTTGTCATTTTAAGAAAAGAGTAAATTTTTTTTCATAAATTTTTTTTATAATGCGTGCGGTTATTAATATGGTAACACTTTAGATTAGGTCATATTTCTCAAAGATGTATCATTAAATTAACTTTTTTCCAACACACTAATCTCAATTGTTTTTATATACTTTTAAAATCTTATGAGCTAAATAGCGATTTTTAGATTGTTAACCTATTCTTTAATGTCATAACTCAAACTCAGCTTCTATTATTTTACGTTTGATTCCAATATATGTAGAAACGCAATAAAATTCATGATTTTTAAATTTTAAATAGCAGTCTACACATTCCTTCAGACATTCATTCAGGTCAAATTGAAGTTGGTGCTGATTAAATTTGATCTTGATTATGTTAAAATATATTTTTATAACATTTTCCTTTCAGTTGCATTGCATCTAGATACATTATGCATCACTTGAAATACTTTGTCATTCTCTAGTGGTCAAAGGACAAAATTTACCAGCATCTGATACATTTTTCTCACTTTTATAATGTCTAGAATTAATGAACACGGATGTTGATAGAGTCACACTTGAATTATTCTTCATGAACATTGTAAATTAGTAATATTAAATAAAAAATTGTCTTAAAGTCCTTAATTCCTAAATAAACACACTCACGTCTCACAGGCTTGTTACCATGCCATTGGGGACTTGGACGTAGTGATGTTTCTACTACAAACCATATATGCTCCACCCACAGGAAATAATCCACATTTTGACATGTTCCAAATACTTCTGTGTGATTTAAAAGTCTGTTTAACCATGTTGACCTCAATGTTGGTCTCCAAGATGACACAAGTCCCCATGAGTCTGTGTGCATCCAGGTTTTTTATTCTCCACCTGCACGAAACAGCAAAAAAGATAGAGGGACTATTTATAAAAAAGTGCTTGGTCAGAAAAGCAGCAGTTGCATATTATTTCTTGACACAAATTTTGGTGCTGAGCATAAAATGTACACTTTGTTATAGTAATTATCATTGAATTATTGTACTTTGTTCTCGTGAAACACGTCCTCCAATTCTTGCTTTCTCCATTGTATGTTGCTGTTATTTTCCATCCCAATGCTTTTCAGCTTTTCACTTATCTGGATAACCAGAAAGCAAGAATCAAAATAAAGCATTTAATTATGCCACTAATACTTATACACTCACTCTACTCATACATACACTGTAAAACCAAACAGTCAACTTTATCAAATGAAATGAGTGTAGTTAACTCAAAATTGACTGAAAGTTAATTCTATTCATTTAAAAGGAGTTTGACCTCAGTGTTGAAGGCAATAAGTTAATTAAATACCTCATTACTTCAATTTAAATGGAGCAAGTACTCATATTGTCACCGACTCGGTGCCAGTCATTCCCCTCGCTGGCCAGCAGAGGTCATTATCACCGGACTATTAACATTACGTCATCCTCAAACACTGATTGCAACACACCTGCAGCACATCACACTGATCACCCATGCACACACATATAAGCAGCCCAAACACTCACTCCAGTGCGAAGTCTTGTTCTGCCTTGCTGACATTTCTGAGCGGTCCATATCCTTGCCTGATCTCCCCGTTATTACCTGTACTGTCCCTTGCCTGCCCTGAACCCTGCTTTGTATATCAACTTTGATCCACACCGCCTGCCTCGAACCCTGCTTTGCATATCGCCTTTGATCCATCCCTGCTATCACGATCCTTGACAGCCAGCCACCAGCCTATCGACCCAGTTTTACTACATTTGATTAGTGGTGGGCAAAGCGAGGCTTGGTGAAACACTGAAACAGTCAAAGCAAATGTGTCAAAGCTTCGAAATGTTTTGAAACCCCACTCTACAGTGACATCTAGTGGTCATTTTTTATGAATTGCACTGAAACAGCTTCAGCAAAGAACAGTTGAACAAATTGAGGGATTAAACCCCACTTTGTATTCAGGATCCTTCAAGTAACATTGTACAGTGGTTAAGGTGTAAGACTTCCATGCGGGGATAGTAGGTTTCGAAGCTAGGCTGTCACAGTTGTTTTGAAATGCTTTAATACCAGTTGGTAATGCTTTGCTCTTGTATAATTTTGTTTCAACATTGGTCTGATATCCGAATAAACAATTTGTGAATAAATATGTCTTGTTTTTGTCTTAAAACAGGGTTGTTGCTAGATCAAAAACGGTGGCCTGAAGTTATCAAGAATTATTTATATTATTCATTAAATTTCCCATTTATTGTATTTTATTAATGTCTACCCAAACCCTAAACCCAACCATACTGTAAAAATATTTATTATTGTTTTACAGTGTTACAAAAATGATGCTAAATTGATGGCGTAACTGCAGCTGTATCCTATTTAGGCTACACAAAACAGAAATATGATTAAAATACATAAAACCATGATTTCAGAGTATTTGTACAAGTCGGGATTCAAACCTGAAACATCATGCAAAGAACAAGACCCATTTGCACACACACAGTCCTCTAGGCCATTTGAGACAGAGATTACTTCTTGACCTTTGCAGCCAAATGAGGATTTGCCAGTTCTCGAAACGCTTCTAAGCTGATCGATGCTTTGAATCGCTTTAGTCACGTGACTAGGTGTTTCGAAACACTTTAGTCACGTGACTTGGGTGCTTCGGATCATGCTTCGGTGCAGTGTTTCGAAACATTTGCGCTTCGGGATCTCGACACTGTGTCGAAACATCAGTTTCACGTCAGCCATCCCTACATTTGATGTTAGTTCGCACACTAGTGCATACTGTGTGCTTGTTATTAAACTGTAGCTGCGTCCCAAATCACATACTTATGCACTATTCTACGCAATTTTATAGTATAAATAGTGTAAGTAGTGTGTTCACACTGAAAATTCTAAAAATAAGTGCACTTTAATTACCCGGATGATGCACTCATTCAGCCGCTAAAATGAAGTGTGGAATGATGGAACACTTCACGCACTCAACGCAGGTTTGCTTACGTAGCGGAAGGGGCGGAGCTATCGGACGCACATGTTGGATAACTTCATTTATTTTGGATGGTGAAAGCAAAATTCTCCTATGAGAGTGATTATAGCGCCTCCCGATGGTAAATGTGGCAATACTCACGACAGGTATTATCTGATAATTCAGTCGTTTATTTCACTGATTTGGCGATCGTCAAACGTCATCAGGGAAACGGTTTGAATTTCCGCTTAGTAAAAAAACATTAGTGTGCCATTTGGGACGCCACTACATACATATACTATCCTGTTGAGTGTGTAAGTGCATAAGTACATAGTGCATGAGTGCATAGTGTATAGTGTGCCATTTGGGACGTAGCTTGTGTTTAATAAATATACTGCAAATGGATCCCTCTGTGTCAGACTCCTCGTTACACGGTTTATTTTTTAACTCAAATGGTTTGTTGCAATCTGTTTCCCTAAAAAGTTTGAGTCGACTTGACTTATTGGGTTTTACAGTACTCAGTTGGTTTGAGTTCTCCATTTATTGGGTTTTACTGTGCTCAGATTGCTTCGTTTACTCAAATGGATTAAGTTCACTGTACTCATTAGGATTACTTTTTGAACTTAAATGGTTTGCTGCAATCAGTTTCTTCACATGGTTGGAGTTGTCTTAACTTTTTGGGTTTTACAGTGTATGACTTTTGACCACACACCAAATCAACAACAATTATAATAGGGTACAATGTTCTTTAAAGCATTCTTGTTTTCTGTAAAACTGTTACACCATTGGTAAATAGTTTTAATGCATCAGAATTTGACAGTGAACCTAAAAAATTGCATTTCAAGACAGATACAAACCTTGTTCAGTATGGCAGTCTGTGCAGAAGGATTGTTCAATGCACATTTTTCCTTACAGGAAAAATTCAGGCTGACAATCTGCTTTCTAAGTACCTTGTCTAGAGACAAAGGAACAGTTATTCTCAACATCCATCTATATATAAATGCAAAATGATGCATTACTTGTGTCTTTTTGAAGAGTGATCAACAAAATATGCAAAAAGTGTTATTATTAATGTGAAACTCACAGTCATAGCAGATAAACGGACGCTGTTGATAACAATTATCAACAAACCATTTCCCAGAATTGTTTCGTGACATGCTGACGCAGTCTTCAGATCCTGCACTCTGGGAAGGTTGACCTGCTGCCCAGTATCTGAAGAAGCGACTCAATTTGTCAGACCATTCCCAAGAATTCCGATAGAGACCAGTCCAGATCCATGATCCTAATGGAGTTACACTTTTGAGCTGCTTGTGTTCCTTAGAGTTGCGGATGTTGACCAGGTCTGTGTAATGCCTTCTGCAGAAGCTCTGAGCTTGAGTCCAGTTCTTCAATTTCTGCACCCTGATCAATCCAATACTTTCTATTGAAATATGGAAAATTTGTATCAGACTTGGCTTAAGCTAAACCGAATATTGACACAGATACTAACACAGATATAACTTACCACTATAGCAAACAAAGGGTAAATTCGATGAGCATGGATAACTCTGCCAGACTCCAATAGCAAAATCGCCACATTCTTCTTCATCTTTTAGATGTCTGTACTTCCAGTTGGTGTGCTGTGGGAGTGTATCTTCTCTATTAGACCAACCCCAGCATTTCTGTGTCCCTCTCTTCAGTCCAATCCACACTGATCCATTGTATCCAGCATCTACAGTATTTATCAGCCTCTTCACATCATCCATGGTGTCTACAGTAGCCAGATCTGTGAATCTCTCTCTGCAGTAACTCTGAGCATCTGACCACGACATACGCAGGTTTATATAGTTATACTGACGAGAAACAGCAGAACTGCTGCAGGAGAGCCCTGTAAAAAACAACATGTTAAACTATCTATATCTGTTCACATCATCATAAATACAGATTTAAGATGACCAAACCAACCTGACAGCAGAAGCAGCACAAACAGACTTTCATCCATGACTGCTTGCTGGTGCTCATAATCTAGACTGGAAAAGGAGTTGGAAAGATGATTAAACAAAGCATTGATAAGAGGGGTGGTTACTGCACACAGGACACTGCATTCTAAATTTTCTTAATTAAACATCAAACTGTGTGGTCTTCGCAAGTGTTGAGCTGGCAACTAAACAATTGTTGGCTTGATCATCCATAGACCGCAAGCATAAAACCAAAAAGCATATGCAGATCAAACACAAGAGGCAGTTTCAAGAGTTCACACTTAGCTGATGATTGATAATACACTTGTTAAGTCATGACGCACCGGTGACGTATAGAATACTGTTTCCGGGTCCAAGCCGCTACTCAATTGAATTGAGAAAATATTTATTTATGACCACTTTTTTAGTCATACCTCACATTAAAGGAAATTTTAAAAAAATCATGGTGTACACATCAGTTTCTGAACTTGCTGCATCATAGACATCAACATTTTAACAATTTATAACAAATTAATCACTTTCTGGCCATCGGATATATTGTTATTTTCGAAAGTATTCAATTTCTTTGTAAATGTTTATTATTAGCATTTGATGAGTCTTCACATACAGTTTGATAGAGCGCTTGGACCTGGAAGCCACTTCGTGCGACGACACACTTAACAAGCGGATGAAGCTTGTTTAGCATGCTGTCCCAGGAGAGAGCCCTGAGCTTATAAGATCCTCGAGCCCTGGGCTCCCTCCTGCTAGCAGGGCGATGTGGGAATTTGAGCTCAGGTAGATTTCCATAAACTCCCCCAACTTGTTAATGGCTAATGACTAAGAGCTCATCTATAGTGCCAATTTGGTATGGTCAAATTATTTAAATAGCTTGTTTTTGGACTGTTGGAGGAAACATAGGAACCCGGGGGAAACCCATAAGAACACGGGGTGAACATGCACACTCTGCACAGAAATGGTGACTGGTCTAGTAAGGACCTTTGACCAGTGACATTCTTGCTGTAAGGCAACAGTGCTAATCACTGTGTTGCCATGTCACCTAATCTAGAAAAAGGAGGGAGGATTAAGGCTGGGAGTGGGGATTCTTCAAGATGAAGATACTAAAGCTGCGGTCACACTGGGCTTTTCCTCCCATAGACTTCCTCCCATACACACGCGAATGCATCGGACCGGAAACGCAGGGTCATACTTCAAGTTTCGCAGGTTGCTGCAGTGCAAAGTTCAAGCTTGGGGAACTCTGGCGTGAGACCAATCGAGGATCAAAGCATGACCTCTCTGGACAGAAATTTAAAACATGGAGCAATCGCTCGCTTTTTTAAATGTCTAATAAGCTTGTTTAATCCCGCCCCTTTTCGCAATGCCACATAACAGAAAATCGCAAGCTCAAACTCTAACGTGACCGCAACATAAGGTATGGTTATTTATTGTAAGTTAGGAATCGTCTTATTGGTGAATCATGTGTTAGCTAATGCGGGGCCAGCCGTGGACAATCATAAGCATGTGATCCGCTTGAAATTTCACTTATAAAAGTTATTGCAGCATGTGGATATTCTGATCAAATGATAATTAGAGCAATGGCAGGTTGTGTAATGACAGCACTCCCCTCATTTCTTTCCTGGAGATGGATGGGATAAGGAACTTGGATGATGGACAAATGAGGAGACTTGAGAACACACTTCACGTAGAAATGTTTTGTACATAAATAAACTGTCTCTTTTAGCTATGACTTAGTCCTCATAAGACAAATTTTGGGATTTTCATTGACAGCCGCTTAATGATTTAAATGCCATTGAGATCAAAATTTCCTTTCAATAAAGTTCTGGCAGTGTCTGATTTCAGACACTTTCCTTCAGTGTGACTTTAGCTACGATGAGCGTCAGACCAAGAACCAACTGAAGCACCGAATCTTATGGCACAGTCAGGACGACAACTTCAAATCACTGCGAGAAATGGCAAAACATCTTTTTTTTTGCTATAGAATTAAGACATGTTGTGAGCAAAATTAATGCTACAGATGCAAGTTAAGGAATGTGTCACGTGTACAGAACGTCAAGCTTAATGGGATTTGTTGTGTGTATTTGTCGCATTCTAATTGTAGTTCAGTCTGACAACTGAAATTTTACAGTGTGACTAGTGTAGTTTGACAAACTATAATTGTGTAGGATTATATAAAATGGCTCTGTGAGCTGATTTTTTGTAGCAAACGAGAAGAGTCAACTCACATCGGGGAGAGCTAATTTTCAGCCCCGTCTACACAATATTTTCAAGGCTGTTTTTATTGGCCACTTGGTTTGATTGTTTGTCCACAGGAAAACACTGTATTAGTTGACTAATTAATACAATCTTACATCAACAACACATGGCAAGCAACGCATTGATGATAACAATTAATCATATTAGATTACAGCACTATTGCATCGCTGCAGTTTTGTTTACACATGTAATATTTTTATCTGAGGCGATTTAAAGCAAAATATACAATGACAATCAAACATATCTACAATGATAAGGAACGTAATTACTTACTGAGTTATTAACGCACAGCAATAACACCTGAAGAAAGGACGGACTTTGAAGGAATAAAAAATGTGAGGAGAGATCCATCATTGTGCACTGGACAAGTCTGAACAAGTTCCGCCCATGCATGTGCGAGGCAGGCAGTTCTGTATAATTACGTAATTTATCAGCTTAAAGATATCGGCAAAATTTAGACATCTGATCGATAACCATAGTTTTAAAAATAGCATTTATCGGCCGATAACAATATGGCTGCTGATATATCGTGCATCCCTAACTGAAACCAAAATTTCCTGAGAACTCTAGCAAGGGTGAAATTTTCTGAACAGTGTGGTTACAATGTGGTCGTGTGGAAACTACAACCAGAATGTTTGCCACACGCCAGAGTGGGCGCTGTTTTCTCCTTTATGATTAACCAACATGGCAGAGTTTATACCAAACATAGAAGATGTGAATTAGGCAAATTCCACGTTCACATATTCTGCTTCGTTTGCACCGCAGGACAGTAATTCTCACATTTGCATTGAATTGTACAATGTACACAAATACTTCAATCAACATTGAGTTTGAACTTTTCATAAAAGGCGTCTATTGTCACCTGTTGGTTCAGCATGCCCTTAACATGCATCACAGAGTGTTCTGTGTTTTCATGTGTGTGTTTTTTTTAAATGAAGGCAGGGAAAGCTCCTTTTATAAAAACACAGGTGTACGTGTGGGCATGGCCTTTAGCCACAGTACTTAAGGGAACACAAGCTAATGACATTAAAGGGCAGACTAGATGCATACTATTGCAAAAAAGAAGGAAGGGGATACATACATACTCCGAAATTGAGTGTAGTGGTACAGCCCAGGTATACACAGAGAGAGACGGAGTCATCTGATATTTATGAACACCTGCAGTAAAGACTAAAGAGTCAATGTTAACTTTACCTCTAATTATTTGATTTGTTTTCTGTTTGCTGTGTTTTCATATATCACAAGTCAAATTTAATTTGTATCTGTTTTGTTCAACACTTATTCTCTGTGTTAATTTCTTATAAACACAGCTTTAAAATGGGCCAAAATAGGCGGTTCTCAGCCAGAACTTAGCAAACTACAAAGTGGACCAAACCTTAAGCCTTTTAGACCATTAAGTCCCCTATATTTAAAGATTTTCCGTTTATGAGATGTTTTGGAAAATATGGCAGTACTTCCAGCGACGATTAGGACTGCAGAGGGCATTTCATAGGCATGCAGGTCTAACACAAGAATAACACATCACATATTTGTGATGGCAAGACTTTAAGTCATTTTGATATTCATTGTTTTCATTGAAGATGCTGCTGCATGTTGTTGCTTAATTATACCAAGAGGTTCATCACATATATTTTGGGCATTATCACGTTTTTACCAGCAGCTACAGAGGACAAATAGTAGTTCAAAATTACAATAAGTTGACAACGTCGTCATCTATCTCCAGTGTTGTGTCTGCTGACGCCAGATCTGATGTGTTTGACTATGTAACATTAAGAAAATGCATATGCATTCCAGCTCTGTTAACTTACTTGTAGCCATTATATTAACATACATTTGTTTTATTAGTTCAGAAGAGTGAGAAAGTAATTTCCATGAAAGTGAGACTTTTTTTCAAGTGTTTGCATAATACCTAGTCTAAATGTAAAAAGGACTACTCCCTTATAATGAATTCAAAGATATCAGGCTTTTTTTGCATTAAATGTTCTTGTTTTCAAAATGAAAGTTTAACATAATAAAATGATGTTGATTTAGAGAAGTTGAGAGTTATTTTGATATTCAAATAGCTTTTTTCCATTGCCGGTGCTTTGCATGTTTTCACTAGCCAGAACATCTTGACTATATTTGAGACAGAATTAAAGCAATATATTATACAACCCTAATTCCCGCATTTTAAAAATGCAATACAATCGTGTAAGATCGTGCTATTTGCTTATTATCTTTCATTTTTATTTAATTAACAACATATCAAATGTTTTCATTGAGCAAATAATTGTATTCTGGAAATATAAACACCAAACTTTCCTTTTAATACAAGGTTTAATCTCCTGGAAATTGATTTTACAAACTTTTTTACAAAACAAAAGTTTTAGACATCAAATGAACATGAACACACACACACACACACACACACACACACACACACACACACACACACACACACACACACACACACACACACACACACACACACACACACACACACACACACACACACACTATAGCATGCACTCACGCATGCACACACATATGCGTAGTATGAGACCATTTTAAAAGTTATATTACTTTTGATTTGCCACTATTTGTATTGATGTCAAAATAAATTATTCTGCAAAACAAAACAATTCATACCTATTTTGTAGTTTCAGTGTTTGTATTGTGTGGTAGCCATTTTTGGTACTGTATCACATAAGGTATGGCAGTGCCATGAATGCTTATTTTTAAAGATACTTTATATATTGTATTTATTATTTATTACAATAACACTTAACTTAGCATCGCTGCATACAATGGAAAAGTTATTAATAGTCATTATCTAAAATAATATACTGAACACATAATTGCATCTAAAGTTGTTAATTTGGTAAAAAAAAAATGGCAATGATGTGCACAAGATAAACTTCAAATCAAAATTGAATTTCAAATCCAATTTATTAAAATGAAATCTTTATATGTAGAGTACATATCAAAAAGTAATCACAAGTTATAAATTAAAAAATGCTCACACTCTTCTTAATACAGTAAAATAAAATTAGCCAGTTAAGTATACTTTCTAATTAAACAACCCTTTTAAAACTACAGCATTAATTACAGATCAATGAAGGTGAAATCTAATAATGAAATAATTTTTTTTTTTAATGATTTTATGATGGAAGTTAAACTTTTTGAGGCTAAAACCTTTTTTACAGAAGTGATCTGGCCAAGACGCAGCACTACATTTCAGAAGAAAAGCACACAAACACTATAATAAAACCATATAAAAACTACATTAATTCTCTCACAAACTACTTGTTAGCAGGAATTTAAAAATGTTCATTGATGGTAGAAAGCTCAGCAACTTCAGGTTATGTCGTAAAGAGTTCCAGTCATTAGGTGTAGCCCACTGAAAAGCCAGCCTAATCTCACAAGGAAACGTACGTATTTTACATTTTGTCAGTTAAGTGGCTAATTTGTACAAATATATACAAGTTCAGTCGTATGAAAATGTACGATTTTAAAAAGAAGTGGCACCCAACCCTACCTCTAACCCCAACCGTCATTGGGTGATGAGCAAATCGGACAAAATTTTATGAATTAGATTGTACAAATTCATACGAATTAGCCACTTAATCAAAAAAGTAATGAATTGCCATGAGATTGCGTTGGAAAAGCACGTTTTCCAAGTTCAGCACGTACAGATTAAAGTGACCATATGTGCCTTCTTATTGTCCCAACACAAATCAATTAAGCTAACGTAATCATTTTTACACATTTCTAAGAACATAACTGTTTGAACATAAAACAATGAAGTTATCTCATATAAAACTTGAGTGGACATTTCAATAAACAAACATATCTAATATAGAGTACATTATATATACCTTTCTCTTTAAATCTCAATGCCTACACATTATTGGACAAAAAACTTTCAATCACTCTGAAGGTAAGAAAGCAGGAAAGCAAAATCAAACATCGCTATATTTCATGTATGGTCACTTTAGTTTATTATTTAGGAAATTAGATTCCTGGATGTATCAACTAATCTAGAGTATATAATCATTCTTTTTTAAACAACGCATGACAATGCACTATGATATTTGGACTAGAAACAAGAAACTTTTATTTATTTATTTATTTTTTTGCAGTGTAGATACTTCTACTAATGTCCAATTCCCATTAAATTAAACTCAAACTTTTAAACTCTGTTTTCTTTGAGTTTGTGTAAAGTATTTTAAAGAGATAAACTGTTGATTAAGGTATTTTTTCACATTCTTCTTCTAAACGGTTTTCTGTACGGTTGATTTCCTGATGAAACACCTCTCCATCATTACTCTTTATCCAGCTTATTTTGCTGTTACTTTTCAACTCCATGCTCTTCAGCCTTTCGGTTACCTGGAGAGAAAAAAAAAAAATTAAAAATAAAATTCATGAGATTTTATCAATAGCCCTAAACCCAATCTAGACCAATGTTTATGATATGAGTGGTGTTGGTTGCCTTTAAGGCATATTATATAATCACTGAAAAACAATGAAATCATCCAAGAGCTACAGTAGGGACTGTGATAACAGGAAAATATTTCTGTTCCTGCGCTGGAGAATTGTTAGTGAATAGGAAGGTCTGAAAATGGACACCGAGGATGGTTTCTTTCTGCTCAAAATGTGAGAACAGTTCGGCCATGCTTCACAGTACCATTACAAGCCTTTATGCAAGTTGTTTTAGTTCTTGTTCAGGGTCCTGTGAAGTTAAATGACATTTTTTTTTAGACTTGACATTTGACATTTTTTTGTATCAGCATGTAAGTCTTTAGGATATAGGATTACATTTTGATATATTTGTTGATCTTTAGGATTTAGAAGATATAAACGTCCATTTGTCACTTTTGCCAAATAGATCAACTACTTTTGTTGACATCACCTTTCTCATCAGATCTTCTGACCAATCAAATGCTCTCTAGTATCTGACATGCCCCGCCCCATTTCACAACGCTTCTTGTTTGCTTTTTATTTTGATTTGCTTGAGCTCAACCACTCTCACTGTCTCAATATCATAGTTGAGATTGCGTCAAACAGTAAATAAAATATGCACATTTCAAAGTGCTTGTACTAAACTGAAATCAACAATATTAAAAGCCCTGGAGAAATTGATAAAGAGTTTTACACAGGATTGACCTCAGTGAATAAATCAGAATGGTTTAACAAAACCTTGACCTGTTATGCATATTTGTGAATTTGTAGAGGAGGCAAAGAAATGAAAGTTTGTAAAAAATAATACAAAAAATAGTTTGTTTGAGTGTTGAATTCTAATATTCTCAGATAATTAATCACTGCTTATTTAACACAGATACAAACCTGATTCAGAACGGCAGTCTGGAGTGAAGAATCATTCAGTTTGCAGTTTCCATTACAGGACAATCTCAGTCTGACAGTCTGCTTCCTGATGAACTTATCATCTAAAAAAATGCATCAAAAACTTCATTATCATCAACATAACTTCAGAACAACAGCAAGTTTTACAGGAGGAGATTTAGGTTTCTGTAACTGGTTAATCTCACCTCCATGGCAGATAAAAGGCTGTTGTAGATCACAGCTGTATGAAGCCCATTGCCCAGAATTCTTTCTTGTCATGCCCACACAGTCACCAGATTCTGCACTCTGGGTTGGTTGACCTGCTGCCCAGTATCTGAAGGAGCGACTCCATTTGTCAGACCATTCCCAAGAGTCCCGGAACAGACCGATCCATGCAGGTGATCTCGACATGATCACCATGCTGTTTGCAAACTTGTCATTATTAGAGTTGCTAATGGTGACCAGATCTCTGAAATTCTTTCTGCAATAAGTCTGAGCATCCAGCCAGTTCATCTGATATATTGATACAGCATAGAAACCTTTGGCTGTTAAAAAAAATCAAAACAACATATTTAGCTATATATATATATATATATATATATATATATATATATATCAAGAGACCTAAAATTTATTATTCTAATTTGGATTTTCTATAATAACATTTTGAGTAAAATGGTAATTTGACATATACTTGATAAATTACTGATGTCATGTCTTCAAAATATTCAAGCTTTTTACTTAAAATCAGTACATATAAAAATAATCCAAAGAAATAATAATTTTAAAATGGTCTCTTAATGTTATTTTTTGAAAATAACACATTGTTTAAGTACATTTTCTAGTCTCTGTTTACATTTGAGCTCCATCCTAGGACACAATGCTGTCCTGTAAGCACATTGTATTTCTATTTAGTGTCGATGTTAGGAACTATTTTTTTAGCCAAAGAACTGCATTTAATAAATCTTTAAAATATGCATTCGTTTGTATGTTATACATATTTTTTGTATTTAATAATTGTTTTTGTAGTTACCATTTTATGGAAATGACAAAGTACCCATGTACAATATAAGATACAACAGTTGCTTACCTACCTTTTTACAGCTGCTTTAATATAGTGTTTTAATATAAAAAACATTTAACTCACGATTTAGGCATAAGGCGAGATTCAAATCTGAACATTTTGCCGTTGACCAAGTTAGGTTGAGAATAACACAATCATTTCCACTGCCTGGTTCTCCTGGACCCCAGTTGCTGTACTGTGCGATTGTATCATCTCCATTCGACCAAACCCAGCGTTTCGGTATCACTCTCTTCAGTCCAATCCACACTGATCCACTGTATCCTGCATCCACTGTATTTATCAACCTGTTCACATCATCCATGTTGTCTACAGTAGCCAGATCAGTGAATCTCTCTCTGCAGTAACTCTGAGCATCTGACCATGACATACGCATGTTTATATAGTTATACTGACGAGAAACAGCAGAACTGCTGCAGAAGAGCCCTGTAAAAACAACATGTTAAACCATCTATATGTGCACACATCATCATAAAAACAGATTAATAATGATCAAACCAACCTGAGAGCAGAAGCAGCACAACCAAACTCTCATCCATGACTGCTCACACAGTATGCCACTTCTGTAAGTGAGAAATAGGACATGGAGTAAACTTACTGTGGTATTATTTTGTTTTAAGAAATATACGCCACTTTCAAAATCAACAGACATGTTTTTACATCTATTTTTTTGCATTTAAGTTTAATACGAAATCTTTTTGCCTTCATCTTTTAATATTACAACTACATTAGATTTTTCTGAAGAGACTTAAATGAGACTTAACATAATCATAAACTGGCCTATGAAGTCATGAGGGAAATCTACATATACAGTAACTAGATTTGCACAGACTATTTTATAATTTTATACATCCTTTATTCTCAGACAGCAAAGCACTCACAAATCGGGTCTCTCCGCTTCTGATGTCCACCAGCTATCAAGATAAATCTATCCTAGATATCACAAATCAAATTAAACTCTTACCTGTTTTGTTCAGTCAACTCCTTTTGCATTTACATAGAGTTTTACAAATTGTTCCATCGCCTGAAGAAGGTGGTGGACATGCAAAAGTGATTTGAACACCAAATCTTATTTTTTAAATTTGTTTAAGTAATGATGATTTAAATCCCCTATACTATAACACTCCCTGTTCTCTTTGGTCCATTTTGATTAAACACACCCATAAACAACCAAAGTGGGCAGTTTTGACCAGAACAGAATAATATGCAATGTGGACCAGACCTTAAGCACTTTAATCTTACAAATCTCCTATCTCACAAATTTGTTTATAAGGTGTTTTGGAAAGTATATTAATAATCCCAGGTACCAACAAGATTTACCATGTAGGTTTTTGTGATGACATCTTGAATCGTTTTGATATTCAAATTGAGTATTTTTTTTTATCTACTCATTTTTGTGAACAGACATTATCATTAATACAAATAGTACTTACAAATTATTAATAAACATTAAAGTAATAAAATGAGTACAATGCTGTCTGTGTACCCATTATTGAAAATGAAAAGAAATCTATGCACAAACTGGCACTTGTTTTGTAAATATTTAAATAAATTAAAAAAAAATGAATGATATTAGTATACAAAATCTACAATTCTGTTGTTTCTGTGTATCCCACTTTTGTCCAATCCACTATGTCTTTATCCACTATATTTACTATGTCTTTACTATATATCTACAGTAGCTATTGATCTTGCAGTTCACAAAACTGCAGGTTAGCCTCTAACTAGTCTTCCCTAACAAAACCAATGGCTAAAACTCTGGTAACTGGCAGCTTTGAATAGTCAAGGGCCGCTCACTATGCAATATGACTTAATCAACCAATGACCTTTTGGGTGCCTGTCCCTGAGAAAGGGGTCATTCCTCAAGGAAATGTGCCAGGTAGGGGCTGTTGCAAGCGGTGTGAGTTTAGAAACTCAAGTCCAGTTGTCTAGTAGCTGAGCAGCAAACATATGGCCAACCGCGACAAGCAAGACCCGCTTCTTGTTCTCCCTGACCTTGCACAGAGTCTGTGCGAGTAGGCTCACTGGGGAAAAAACACATCTTAGCTTAAAGCCCCAAAGTCAGCTGTGAACCAGTGAAACTGGCAATGGGCAGATTCGAGAGAAGCAACAGGCTAACCTGGACTGCTTTGAAAAGTTCCCATATCAGCAAATGCTTTCTTCCCTCCAGCATTGACGGGAATCAAAGGACAAAGGGAAACACTGCACCAGCTTGAGGCAATTGATATGCCAATGCAGCTTGGTTTCATTGTAAGAACCCACAGCTCATTGCCCACAACCCCCTCCAACCCTCCAATATGGAAGTGAGGGTTTTATATATATATATATATATATATATATATATATATATATATATATATATATATATATATATATATATATATATATATATATATATATATATATATTGGAAGTCAGGGTTTTTTCAAGTGTTTGCAAAATACCCAGTCTAAATATTAAAGGCACTACTCTTTTGAAATGAATTCATAGATATCATACTTTTTTTTTGCAATTAATGTTTTTCTTTCAACATGAAGGTTTAACACAATAAAAAGTTAAGAGTTATTTTGATAATCAAATAGCTTTAGAAACAGAATTAAAGCAATCCGCTCTGCGCTCTAGGAGAATCGGGTAAACAAAATAGGCCATAGTGAATGGGTGTGAATGAGTGTGTATGGATGTTTCCTAGTACTGGGTTGCAGCTGGAAGGGCATTTGCTGTGTAAAACATGCTGCATAAGTTGGTTTATTCCACTGTTGTGATTCCTGATGAATAAGGGGACTAAGCTGAAGGAATATAAATGAATAGAACATAATTTTATATATTGTAAATTTATTACAAAACCACTTAATTCAACATCTCTGCACACAATTGGAAAGTTATTTGAATAGTTACTTGTCAACTAATACTTCTGGTAATATGCCAAAACATTGATGTGCATGCTGTACACATCATTGCATCATCAGTTGCAAATTGGTAAACATGTTGAAATTTCTAGGCCTCAAAATGCAAAAAGAGAAAACAATGGGCGCAAGACATTATTACATTTCAAATGGATTTAAAGTAAATCATTATATGTAGAGTACAAAACAAATATATCAAACTGTAATCAGAAGTCATTTAAAATTTAAGAATGCTCACTTACTTTTTCTTTCAAATAGAGTGGAATAAAGTTAGCCAGTCCACTTACTTCATAATAAAAACATTTAAAACCACAAAAATAATTACAGTTTAGTGGAGGTAAAATCTAATAATGAAGGATTTTTCATGATGAAAGTTAAACTTTCTGAGGATAGAAATGTTTTTTTTTTTTTACAGAAGTAACTTGACCAAGATACAGCACTACATGTCAGAAGAAAAGCACACAAACACTATCAGGAATCTGAAAGTGTTTATTGATAGTAGAATTCTCAACAACTCAGGTTATGTTGTAATGAGCTCCAAACACTGAGCATGGCATGACATCTGTAAGAGATATAGAGAGCAGATGGCTTCTCGTGGTTCTTTGATGTCAGATTGCATACAGTGATTGGTCTGTGCAGGGATATCAATAAACAAACATGTAATATACAGTACACAATTGTTTTCATAACTGTTAACTTTCTCTTTAGAACATGGGTGGGCAGACTCGGTCCTGGAGGGCCGGTGTCCTGCATAGTTTGTTACAACACTAATTAAACACACCTGAATGTGCTAATCAGTGTCTTCAAGATCACTGGAAATCTATAAGCAGGTGTGTGTGATTAGAGTTGGAGCTAAACGGTGCAGGACACCGGGCCTCCAGGACCGAGTTTGCCCACCCGTGCTTTAGAACAACTTTTCAATCATTGAAGGTAAGAAAATAGGAAAACAAAGTCTAACCTTGAAATCCTGTGATGTATGTTCACCTGAGTTCATTATTTAGGAAACTAGACTCACTGATGTATTAACTAAACTAGGTATTAACTAAACTAGAGAGTATATAATCATTCATTTTTAAATAATAAATTCTGCTAATGCCTAATTCTTATGAAATTGAACTTAAACATTATTTTCTTTGAGTCTGCGCACACTCAACTGAAGATTAAGGTGTGTTTTTACATTCTTCTTCTGAACGGTTTTCCATATGGTTGATTTCCTGATGAAACACCTCTCCATTGTTACCCTTAATCCAGCTTATTTTGCTGTTACTTTCCAACTCCATGCTCTTCAGCCTTTTGGTGACCTGGAAAACCATCAAGAAAGAATAATAATGATAATTAGAAACAAAATTCATATGAGAGATTAAATTTTATCTATGGCTCTAAACCAAAACAGCGACATAGGTAGTTCTGTCGCTTCACAGCAAGAAGGTCGCTGGTTCGAGCCTCGGCTGGGTCAGTTGGCATTCTGTGTTCTCCTTGCATTCGCTTGGATTTCTTCCGTGTGCTCCGGTTTCCCCCACAGTCCAAAGACATGTGGTACAGGTGAATTGGGTTGGCTAAATTGTCCCTTGTGTATGAGTGTGTATGGATGTTTCCCAGAGATGGGTGTGGCTGGAAGGGCATCCGCAGCGTAAAACATGTGCTGAATAAGTTGGTGGTTCATTCTGCTGTGGCGACCCCTGATTAATAAAGGAACTAAGCTGAAAGGAAAATGAATGAATGAATAAACTAAAACTAGAGCAATGTTTATGATATTAGTGAGGTTAGTTGCCTTTAATGCAGCAGGTCTGAGAAATATCACTGGAAAACAGTAGCTGCATCCCAAATGGCACACTATACACTATGCACTCATGCACTATGTACTTATGCACTTACACACTCAACAGGATAGTATATGTATGTAGTGGCGTCCCAAATGGCACACTAATGTTTTTTTACTAAGCGGAAATTCAAACCGTTTCCCTGATGACGTTTGATGGTCGCCAAATCAGTGAAATAAACAACCGAATTATCAAATAATAGCTGCCGTGAGTGTTGCCGCATTTACCATTGGGAGGCGCTATAGTCACTCTCATAGGAGAATTTTGCTTTCACCCTCTAAAATAAATAAAGTTATTCAACATGTGCGTCCGATAGCTCTGCCCTTTCCATCATTCCATCAAGTGTCCATCATTACACACTTCATTTTAGCGGCTGAATGAGTGCATCATCTGGGTAATTAAAGTGCACTTGTTATTTTTAGAGTTTTCAGTGTGAACACACTACTTACACTATTTATACTACAAAATGACGTAGAATAGTGCATAAGTATGCGATTTGGGACGCAGCTTACAAAATTGCAATTAGCCAAGAGCTATGTCTGCGTGTAAACATTGAAAAAATATTCTGCTCCCATGTTCTTTCAGAGATTGGCCTATAATTGTTTACAGTATAAAGGAAAGATTTCCTCAATAAAACAATTTAACAGAGACACAACTTTCATATATTTGAGAATTAAGTTAATTTAGTGAAAGATTATAAACATACTGCATAGCAGCAATATAATCTGCAGCAAATTTAGCATTGATCTGCAGTTAATTTTGGTGTTAAACCCTGTAAATGTTAACAAAAAAGAACAAGATAAAAAGTAACAGCCT